ATTATTTTGTAATCAGCCGCCATTTCCCGCCCTCAGGCGCCCGGGGCTCCCCCTCAGCCGCTCCCGGCCCCGCGGTGCCGGCTCTCCTCCCCACAAGTGCCCAAGATCAGCGAGAAAGGAATGTGGAAATGATGGGGGCTGTGGAAAGGAGAACGATTAAAGACCAGAGGCAACAGTGGTGACGGCAGAGGTGGGGCAGCTGCGTCCCTGTGTCCTTGCTGTCGGAGGTAGCCAAACCTGCGGAGCTGCGCGACGCGGGCCGGCTGCTTGTTCAGGTTATTTTACAAGAGTGCTGTCTGTGACTTATCTGGTTTGGTGGGCACTAGATCGTTGAGATCCTAACTGTAGATCACAAGCAATAGCACCAAGCTGTTCTATTAAATCCCAGCTAGATATTTAAAATCGTATTTCCTAGGCTGTTACACCATGCGGTCATTAGTAATAACAGTATTCTCATTTTTACTACCTGTAACCTCACCCACACAACCTGGAGGTATGAGCAACCTCTAATTAAAGTCTGGTAATTGGCAGCTGATTACAAAATAATTGATAATGCATTCAAAAATCCAAAACGTCTTCATGCAGTAAAACAGCTCATAGCTTCAGCAGAAAAAGTTTGGGGAATTTAGAAGAGTTTTGCACCAGCACTAAACCTGGTATATTTTCTACTCTGTATTTTGCAGCACTTTACGCATTGAAGAAGAACAAAATTATTACCGATTTCCAAAAGCCCCATCTTGGAAAGTAGTAATGGAGAAGCTGAACAGGATTACATAGGCCAAAATAAACCTGAGGGAAACGTGTTATGCAAAGATTAGAAAAATTAGGCCCAGTTTTGAAGGGAAGCTTTACCAAACCTTCAATCGATGCTTTTCCTGGCAATTACCAGCAAAGTTTTTCTGAACATCTTGAAGATTAGCTTCCCTCAAAAGGCCCACCCCATTTCTTTGGCGATAAAAGTGATGGGATTAAGAATAAATCCATTACTGTGAATAATGCATCATATGATGAGTTATATTGGTTGAGTCTGAGTAACCTCTCTGTCAGAGGTAAATTTAGCGCAGGAAACACTGCCTACCCACTTTGCAGAATCCAGTTCAGCTGCATTAAGCTTAATGTGTTACAGCAGAAGACATCAGGCATGGCTTTTCCAGCAAAGCACCATGCAGGAGGCTGCAGGTTATGAATGTTTCACAGAAGTCAAGTTCATTGTAGCATTAAGAGAATCAGCTTTTTGTTGGTACCATGTACCACAGTCAGAGTTCAGCCCGCTCTGCCCCGGGTGTTGAGACGTGCAAGGAAACACTCCATTAGTCAGCTCCCAGTAGGGCCCTGCCTTATCCCCGTGTTCCAGAATTTTTAACAGCCTATTTCTAAGCACAGCTTTCTCCCAGCCTTCAGGGCAATCCAAATTTGCAAGCAAAGCAGGAGTTTAGGAGTTAACAGTAACTGGTGGAAAAAGTTCACCCAATGTAGTTGTTAAACACGGATTTGTTTCACTTTAATCACCCATTAGTGTTGAAACATTGTGTGTGCCTCTTTATAATTTAAAATACATATAGCTCTATATTTAGTGCCTGTATTTAAAAGTGTATAAGGTATATGCATTTATAATTCATAATATATAATGATATAATCAAGTTTTAGCTTCTGGAATGAACAGTTCATTTACATTTTTACCAGGTACCTATCAGAAATTTGGGAATGCTTTAGATTAGCCTGATTCCCTTTGACTCAGCTTATTTATGGAATGAGTAAGATGGCAGCGTGTATCCCCTGTGATGTGAAGCGCAAGGAAGGATCTAGCACACCTCAAAGTGATTTTGTTTAATTCATGCAAGTCCATGGGTCTCAGGAATTGGTTTAAGGCTTTCTTCATCTAATTTTATGTAGCTTCTTCCCCTTTTATTGTGTTACTGTGCTCAAGGGGCCGCAGCTCAGGGAGAAGCGGTTCTGTTCTGTTCATGGCATTTCAGGCTTAAGGCCAACTGGAGCTACACAGGTGTAAATAAAGAGCAGATTAGGTTCCCAACGTCCCTTGTGCATGACTTGAAGCCTAACTCATAAGAGAAAGGAAAAAGTGGACTGAGTTCCTGCCTTATTTAATTCCCCTAATAACTACTCCGTTCCTTAATTACATTTATGCAATTGCAGAACCCAGGAAAAGACTTAAATGCAGTCCATGTGACTGGAGTTTGTGCTTTTAAATTTAGATCACTGACTTGTTAAATACATCCCGTAGTTGTATGGCCAGCAACTGACTTACTGTTCATCTGTTTGACATTCTAATTATTCCTGTCGTTGAGTTTACAGCTTCTCTCCCTGGAACAGGGCACTTCAGAACAATGCCTGCTCAGAGACCTTTCTGCTAGACAGGGCTGTAGTTTAGAAGTTTAGAAGGTCTGCAGTATTGCTGATATGTGAACTAGCAATTAAGAGGTGATAACACGTGTACTGGAAGCCATTCTGGGATCATCTTCAGCAGCACAAGTACACCAAGCTGTAAGTCTGTGTTAAACACACATGGTGATCCTTTTTCATGGATGGGCAGAGTAACAAATGGCTGTTTATTTTTTCCCAAATGGAAAAAAGGATATCAGGAGAAACGGGCTTTTTTAGGTTTTGCCTCCCAACTAGGTTTGACTTTTCAGTTTCAGAGAACTGATCCTGTTTTTACTGAGGAAAGCAAGTTTAAGAGCAATCATTCTACGCCTCCATGCAACTTATCCTTGTGCCAGGTTCTGGTTCCGCTAAAGAGGGAGAATATTCTTGTGCTTCACAATTCTCTCATTAACCAGAATTATGAGATAGCAGACTCTGAACTTGAGCTGTAGAGGAAGCTGAAATGGCTTTGACAACACCCACTGCAGCAATTTTGCTCTGTGGGTATTAATTAGATAACATGAAAAAAAAATCTGCTTAAAAGTTCAGGGTTGAACTTTTCTCGCCGAAAGAAGTAATTTAACGGTGAGATCAGTTCATCACATTTTCACAACTGGCTCCTGGTCCATACAGTGGAAAAAACACCATCCACGTGTTCTTCAGCCAAAAGGATGCAGTCTGATTTTGGAAATGTAAGCTCCTCCAGTCTCTGTTGAGCAGGACTGGCATGGCATGAGAGCACATGAACTGGTTGTAATGCAAGACGTCTTCATCCTCATGCAAACTGTTAATATTTAATTTAGGCATGCCCAGTGAGCAAATACCTAAGTGTATTAATTCCTTTGCAGTCTCTGATGTATACAGCAGCTCTGTGATTTGATTTGAATTGATTTTGCTGCTAACTCTGGTGACCTCCAATAAAAAATGGTTGCATTCGCCACAAAGTGATTTATGATGGCAGAACTCTCTATTATATAAATACTTTCCAATGCATTAGTCAGAAATCCACTATCTTACTTCATTAAACCAACAAATACAATCAATTCTTATCTGATTTACAGTTTTTGTGCACGGAAAAATGATTTTACCTTTATGCCAAATGGAGTTGAAATGTAGATCATATAATAAGAAATGTCTCTGCCTCAGTGTGTAAGCGCCACTAATCAAAATCAGAGCCCACGGTCGGTCGAGGATTTAAGCTCTGATCACTCTCTGGCTGGAACATTACAGGGATGAAATGCATATGCATGTTTTGATAAACAGCGCTGAGCATTAGCACTGTGCCTTTGTGTAGCTAAACACCCTCCTGGTTTTAATCACAATGGGAAATGAAAGGCATGGCTTGAGTACCAGCATGGAACAAATGACATTAGGAGACAAAGTGTTTACCAGCAATACATTAGTTATGTGCCTCTCCTCTCAAAACATCCCCCAGTACTTTAATAGCTGTCTTGTGTCTGCTGATACGTGTATCTCGAAAATATTATACACAGGAATCACTTTGGTGGGACTTGAAATGCAGGGCTCGCTTCCTACACATATGTATGCAGAATAACACATTTGCAGAAGTAATGTGTCTTCTAATTTAAAAGGATGGATGTACTACTGAATCTATGGCTCCTTATAACAACACAGAGTCAATAAACAGAGCTCTCATCCAACTGCTCTGCAGCCCATCGATAATTCTGCCAGAACCACTGAGCGCTACACTGCCCATAGAGTCCTTGTGTCCCAGTTATTTGCATCGTAGTTTTGAAGTAAAACTAGCTGGGGCAAGGTCTTGGGTCATTTTACCCCACGCAGACCCTGGCCCCTTGTGTTCAGAGTGTGGGGGACAAGGAAGGTTTTAAAAACCTAAAGCAGAAAACGAAAATAACTGAACATTTTCTGTGCGTGAGCAAGGTTTAGTTACTGAGATACTGCGAAGAGATGAGGAGCAGAGGGAGAGTTCTGCGATGCATCCTCTTCCTTTGGCAGATGTGCTTCCCCAAGGATTGGCTGAAACCACCTCAGCCCTCCGGAGGTGACCTCCAGGCTCAACCAAGGGAAGGTGGCACTTTCTTAAGGAGTAGCTTCAACACCACCAAGCTCACCCTCTGCCCTATTTCTGATAGCTCCTGTGAGTGTGCACTGGCCAGCCTGATTTCAGGGGGCTCCTCTCACGCGTTGGCTGTGCTGAATTCCTCCAGCAGTCAGCCTGGTGCAGCGCTCGGCTCCTGCTCACAGCGCTGTGACACACAGCAGGGGCACAGCTTTGCTGTAACCTTGCACTGTCTAGAAACCCGAGACAACCTGCATGGGCTCTGAATGCTAATGCCAGGGCCCGCTACCCAAACAGGAGGCACGCCAGAGCCTGAGCCCTTTTTAAGATTCTATGCAAAGATGAATGATTAATGGCAAATCCAAGTCATGCTCGAGGTTCTGCTGATGCACAGCCCTCCCACTCTCCTGTACTGATGGAGGAAAGGGCCCTGCCCGTGGCTGCTGCTGCTGCTGCTGCTGCTGCTGTGAGGGCTCTGCATTTCTGTAACATCAGCCTCAGCCTCTGCAAAGAAACATTTCAATTGCTTGTGGAAATGTGTGTGAATCCGGGAGAGTGAGCAGCTGCTGCCTGCACACACACCTGCTCCAGGCTCAGCACGAATCACCTGGGTGACTTTCAGCTACAAAAAACCATTCAGACCCCCCATATCTGGACTCGAGGAACAACACGTGCACTGAACCATTGCCAGCATTCCTGTTCTTTGTGGGCACAGGTTAGACATCAGCAGGGGACCATTATCAACATACTTAGCATCATGACATTTGCTAGACAAGTTATTTTTTGAGATTTTAGGACCTAACTCTTCCAAGTTTCACAGTAGGCTTTTTTCTCTAAGGAATGGCAGGACCCTGTATAGATGCCTGGAATGTCACGGGACACACACAGAGGAATGAATCTGTCTCTCACTGAGCCCCTCAAGCTAGAGCAGTAACTCTGATAGCTGTTGGGAAATAACAGCCCCCTCTCTCTCAGGCAAAACATCTGATCTTGGTCATAAAGTCTGCGCCCTACACCATTAATAGGAAGAAAATAGAAAATCCAGGAAACTTGATAGCTGGGAAGGAGCAGAACCACAACTCTTTGTGGCACCTAAGAATAGTTTCTGTTCTCTCTATGATGCAAGAACAAGAGGGAAAGGATAAAAAGCACTGGTATCAAAGGATCTTTCTTGTCACAAAGGGTGCATTATTGTCCTTACTAAAGGAATTCAAAGTGGGTTTGATCCATCTAGACACTTCAATGGTATCTATACCTGTCATATCTATGGACTTTTTCCAGCTAATACATTTTTTATCAGCAGGAAAACGTTGGTATGTTTTCCAGGAGTTCCTAGACACAAAACTGCTGTTTCTGGCATCAGAGATTCTTTTCTATGTGATACAAGAGGTTGGGTTTCCACTAGTTCTAAGAAACCTGCACAATTACACTGCGACATACTAGGAATCCATCTTCATAAAGACGGAATTAAGAAAGACATGAGATGAATACATAGACAAAGCCTGACTTCCAAAACCAAAGTCCACTTAAGAAGACATTTCTCCTAGGCAAGGATATTTCCCAGCCCAATGCACTGTTAGAGCATTTTCCTGTAAGGCTGCATTACTTTTACGTTAACTTCACGCACAACTGAGCGGATAATTCATAGGTCAAAACTATTTGCTTGGTGTTTTCTTACGTGCTTCCTTTTTCCTCTTGCCCCCTGTTAGACCGTGGCAGTGCAGATCCTGTCACATGCTGGGCGCTGGGGTGGGACACAGACCAGTGACACACTCTTGATTACAGGGTACCTGAGGAGTGGGCCGGGTACAAGCGCAGCTTTTTAAGGGCTGACATTTGGAAAAAGGTCAAAACAGAAATTTACTTCTAATTTGGCACCCCCAGTTTCGCAATTGAGTCCTCTTGCTGAATGGCAAGAATGAAAAGCCATGACTTCAACAGCCCCCAAGGCTCTTGAAGCTGAGCCTGACCGGTTGTTTCAGGCGTAGCTGCTCGCGGGCAGAGGGTAATGAGGAAAAGGAGAGTTTTATAACTGCCACAAAAAAGCCTTGATGGTTTGACTTTTCACCGGTGGAAATGTGTGCTTGGGAGGAACAAGTAGTGCCTGAGCTAAGAACCTGACACCTGGGTGCCTTCCTAATGGCACTGATGGAGGGGAATTACCCAGGCTGGGGTTAATAAACCCCTGTTCGGACAGAGAGCTTTCCTGGCTGTGCATGTGCTCCAAAATGGAACCTGGAATAAATAGGTATTTGAAGATCTTCTTGGTTATGAAAAAAATAAGAGTTTGCATGTGTTTTCAATAAGATGAAGGCTTATTTCTTGCCCATCTCCCTTAGTGAGAGCCCATTTGTAGGGATGTCTGCCCCTGCCTGATTTTTCCAGACCGGGAAAGCCACTCAGCTTGTATACTCAGAACATCATAGCAAAATATTGCCAAGGAAGAAAAAAAAAAAAGAGGTATGAAATAAGTTTGATGTCAGTTGCAAGACGCCAAAGTATTCATTCTGCCACTAGGTGAGAAGCTTATGTTAGCAGGTACAGTGCTCTTACAGAGAAAAATGGTATTTTGAAATTGCAACCCACGTGTTTTCTTCAAAGCAAATAGCCAAGGGCACAAGGAAATCACCTCAATGAATAATGGACCTCCCTGTTAATACAGTGTGCCTTATGTTTAGATGTTTGGCCAAAATGGTGAAAAAAATCACCTCTTGTGGTGGAGCTTTCTTAGCACAGTGCCAAAAAAGTCAGACAGAAGAAACTTCTTGGTGGCTTAATAGTAGGCAAGCCTCATTTACATGATATTTTTCTATGTGAAGTGTATGGCTTTAGGTATTACCTGTAGATATTTCTTCCAAATGTGTTTTCTCTAGAAACGATTTTGTCCTCAGAATGATGTGAAACCATTTATCTATGAGTTTCAGGCCTATCACATGAAATTAGGCACCAGAATGCTCAGTAATTAGAGACCTCACCCTGGAAAATGGATAATGACGGAGTCCTTGAAATCAATGAAGGTTAAAGCTGCCTGTTTATAACAACACTTGTATAAACCTCAGATAAGATGTTGATTAGGATATTATATCAGCCACATAACAATTATATTCAATGCTGTAGGGAGAGTTTATTTTGAGCATTGCGTGACCTCACAGATTTATCTGGCAAATAAACCCCCCTTGCTTTGCAAAGACAACAAATACTGTGCTTGGTTCAAACTTGTCCTACATCCATATACTTCTCACAGATAATCATTTAGGGACATCAAGTACACGTGAGGGGGGTTCCTGAAAAGAAATGTCTGCAGAAAATCAACAAGTCCAATGTTTTTTCCCCACAGGAGTGTGTAAACGAGCCAAAGCTCAGACACAAGTTCCCAATAAAAGAGCTACAAGTTGCATTTAGGTCCCTTTGGGATCTACTGACTGTTTAAGAGATGTGTTCTCCTCTTGTCCTGTCTGAGAGGCTGCCTAGCAGGTGGCAGATCTCCCAACTCTGGAAACATTCCAGGCCAGGCAGAGTTCTGAGCACCCTGATCTCACAGAGGATGTCCCTGTTCAGTGCAGGGGAGCTGCACTAGGTGGTCTTTAATGGTCCCTTCCAACCCAAACCCTTCTGTGATTCTGTGACCTTCCCAAGGGACTTTGATGGATAAAGAGAAACTACTACTGAGCTTTTTCTCATGCATTCTTGTTATTAAGTAATTACAGCTTTTGGAAATATGTTGGTTTCAGTTGTGCTTTTAACAGAAGTTTTATAAATATGTTACGATTTTTCTTTCATATAAGAATTTTTATCTCACAGGCAATAAGGTTCTCCAAAGTGATGTATACAACCTCATATTTACCCCTGAGCAAGAACTCTCACACAAGCAGTATCTAATGCAAGGTAAGCCCACGCTCTAATTTCTCTGTATTCCTGCAATTAAGCCTTAAATGTGCCCTTAAAATGTTAGGAAAGATCAGACTTGTTTAAAATCTGATGCATGCTATTCATAATGAGTTAAAGATTTCAGGGGAGGTGGTGTTGTTTCAGTACTCTTCAGGACTTATAAGCATTTGGGTGTTTACAACAAGATGTGCTTCGTTTTTCTGGTCAAGAACTGAAAAATAAAATTATGAGGGAGAAGAAAAAGTATCTGACCTTCTCTAAATACTGCAATTTTTGTCACCTGAAATCAGATCTGCCTTCCATTACATCCACACAGCAGTGTCAGCATGTACATGACTAGAAAGATGAGTGCTAAATCCTTCTGAGAAGTTAAAGTCTGCAGGTTTGCAATAGATCTTCCTTTGTGCTCTTTTGTCTTTAAATTTGCTCTCATAAAGAATCCATGAACTATAGAATTTGATATATTATTTCTCACTTCTGGCTGCATTCAGCTTTTAAAGTTGAGGTCCTGATCTAATTTTAGTGGTTGTGAATCGTTTCTTTGACTGAAAAGAAAATCGCCGGAGAGTTTTATCGTATTGCCCTATCTCCTAATGAACAAAGATAGTGCTGCTCTAAAAAAGTTCCAGATTTCAAAGGACCCAGGTTTTGAGTTCAAATAGTCCATACTGGCCAGTCTAAGACTTCTTTCTGGCCGTGCCAATAACCCTGAACGCTGCAGATCTCTAAATTATGGAACCTGTTAGATGAGAACTTACTATATGCTAATTGTTATGAGAAGTACGGGACTATAATACTTTTCATTTCAGCATAACCCTGGTATTATGCCTTGCTTATGATCTTTAAGCCACAGCTCATCTGGGATTCTAAAGTGAATGAAACTCAACATTTTAAACCAGACAAGAGGGGAGACTTTCTACACTGTGCCTTGTTTCTATGCCAAGAGACTGAATAACCAGGGATTTCTCTCTCAAACATTCCGTGTGGAAGGTTATATTGTTTAAATAACAGCTTTAGACCCAGACAGACAAAATAAGACACATCTGTTATTTTTTCCTCTTAGCCTTAGTATCTGGGTAATAATAAGATTTGTTCTTTCAACTGAGACAAAGCAGCAGGCTTGTTTCTTGTGATTTTTCTGCTTTTGTTGGAAGGTAAGTTAGCAGCATCAATTGTATTAGTGCTTCTGTCAACACCCACATTAAATATGTTTCTTTATGAGAGACATCACATTCCAGCCTACTCTGGACATCTAAATTTATATCTTTCATCACATCCATATTGAAATCCAGCTACCACCTGGATTCCTGTAGGGGTTACTTAGTGAAATGTTCAGAATGTTTCTGTTCCAAATATCAAATTAAAAATTAACTGGAAGTTTATATTTAGGCAGGACAGCCAGTAAACCACAGACACTTTCTCTTTCGCCTCTATCATTCTACTTTTTTGTGGTGTCGGAGCAAATTCTCTTAATCCAAATCAGAACTTGGTACATGCTGTGCTTTTTGGTACTCCTTTAAGCTGCTTTTATTTTCCCTTATTTTACAAGTTTAGAATGCCTTAGTGGCACTGCAGCCCTTGGCACGCTTTTCTGTGAAATTTAGAAATGGATATGTGAATTTCAGCAGGGTTTTCTGGGCTTTTTTTGTTGTATTGACTGGAGAGCTTAGGACAACTGTTTCAGCTGAGGGCGAAATTCCCTCATGTCCATGCAATCTCTGGTCTGCCCCACAGCCTTATTGTAAGGAAAAATACACTGGTTTTAGGAGCTTCTAGGTAATACTGAACTCAATACCCAAATTTCCAGAAAAGCAGGGGTTTTTTTCTCTCCAAATTATTCACACGCTTCAGAGCGATTCTTGTTTCTAATTTAACTCAGAAGGTCTCACAGGTTGCATTTTTCTCATCTTCTATTATTACAACTTGAACACAAACATCACATTTATTTCAAGGGGCATTTTCATATGGGCAGGGCACTTTCTTCTGGCAAATAGTCACAGTTTCTACTGAAACCACCTCATCTCATGACTGAAAAATGCTCTGTGCCTTCCTTTAGAGTACAGGCATGTTTATGGATCTACAAGCAACAGGAACCATCATAACAAAACTGCATTAACCCCTGCATAACCTGTTAATTCGGCACTGAGATCAATAGCTTCAGTCAAGTGCCCCTTGGCAAGAATAACCAGAGACATGAATGAAGGAGGGAGTTACTTTATCAACCTCCAAGTGAGAAAAAATAACCATACAACTTGGAGTCTTAGAAGTGTATCTGCATTTGAGTTTCTTGAGCTGCCACAGCTCTTGCTTTGGCTTTTTGGCCTTTCTTAAAGAACACTGTGGGATCGGATTTATTCTCTTTCTGCAGGTACCCAGTTAGGATCAGACCCTGCTCTTTGGACTTTAGGGAGCAAATATGTACCATACACCCCTCTACAGCCATCTGGGCTCTGTTCTTTGCATTTCACAATAAGCTGTTACCACTTCTGTTCCATTTCATTGCAGGTGCCATTTATTCTTCAACTTGAACCAAGTTAGCTCATTCATCTGCTATAGCCACAATTGTTAACCACCATTATATACATATTCCAAAAGGAAGATACTGCTGCATATAGTTTTGTTTGCTGATTCCTTCTAGCTTTTTCTAAGACAAGACACTCCTGGATTCAAGCCAGGGAAAGCCATGACAGGATTAAAACGAAGGTGTAAATTCTATAAGCTTATTAAAATCCTAGCTGAATGCAAAATTTAGCACATGCTTAGCTTTAAATATTTAAGTAGACTTGTTTTGCTGAACTGAGGTCTAAAGCTCTCTACTTATAACAGACAACATAATTTAACTTTAAACTCAGGATCCCTGTGAATGAGCTAATGCAGAAATCAATGGCAAAACCTAATGGAAAGTGAGAAGATTTGAAGTTGCACTTTTTCTTTCCTTTGAATACAGCTATGCCCTTTTAGTGCTGTTTTTCCCTCAGTCCTCCCCACCTACTATGGCACACCTATAAATGGACATTTCAGAATGCTAATTAAGAACATATTCAAAGCAAGAACACTAGAAGGGTGGGCACAGAAAAAGGGTTCGAGTGCCAAAGAGCAAATTAATACCCATAAAAAAGAAACAAAAACACGAGAGAGAAAATGAGAAGGAGAGAAAAGAAGATAGTTTGCTCTGTGCCAGTAAATAAGCTGAAAATTACATTCCCAGATGGATACCAATAGCCTTTTCTGTCAGCACTACACCAGTATTACTGCCACATGATTGAACATTATATATATTTCTTGAAGTTTACAGGACTTTATGTAAGCATCTAGCAAAATAATTAAGGAGCGGCTCCGAGCTTCACCCATAAAAGTGCTGTGGTATCTGGTTTTGCAGAATAATAGGGTATTAAAGCATCCATGGAAATGCCTATTTACCTGCTGAATGGATGTGTGCAGCCCTAAGTGTGGATACAAATTCTCCAGGAGCAGCTTTCCAGCTGTCATTTCAGGTGATGTTTGATAACAGCACAGTGTGGCTGGGCAGAAGCACAATTGCCTCGAGAAGGCTGAACAGATGTGGGACACTGACTACAATTTTCCTTTTGTTAAGGTCGAGGACCAAAATTTCTAGTGTATTAAAAAATGACTGCAGGTAACCAAAACACCTTAATCATTGTAAACAGCACAGCTCCTGCTCAGAAATTCTCATGAGAACAGTAGTCTTTCAATGATGTTTGAACACTTGCTCTGAAGATTTGTTCGTGTACACAGGTTCATGTATGCAGGTATGTTGATTTGCTACCATAGGATAAGACTGCTGGACCATGTGGTTATTAGCATTTGGTTAATGGAAATATAAAAATGTGATGGGAACAAAGCACAACCCCATTTGATCCCGTTTGGTTTCAAATCTCTTTTTTGAACAAGCCTGTCCAAAAGCATGACATGCTGTATCCTAGCCACCCATGTAACCCAAAAGATTTCATCTCAGTCTTTGTTTCACATGAGATTTGGAGCTGGAAAGAGGCATTTTGTCTCGAGTGCCTGGCAAACAAGCAAAGAATAATATATATAATGTAGAGAGTGACTCCTTGTTCACCCTCACCGAAGTCAGTAACGGGCGCTTGAAAAGGATTATTGTTACTTGAAATGCTTTTGTAGTCTCTGAAACAATTTCATGGTGGCCATCAAAAATGTATTAGCTATAACAAGATGAAATGGAAGGTCAAAAATTAGTGGAATGCCTATAATAGATTATGAGTATGACCAAGATGGTATTTATGCACTTTTAGGGACTTATTCAGGAGAGACTAATTATGAGAGGCACTGCCACCAGAAAGCACACAAGCAAAAGAAACAGCATGCTATAAAAGGTTTTAAAATGTGTCCACAAAAACACTAAAGGTTTGGATTAGCATTTGCATAATTGCTCGAGCTGTGAGCTGTCAGGAACCCCTTCCACCTAGCTCTCTTGTGCCTAAAGTTGATTTAAAAGAGTAGTCCAGTCAAATGAACAGCATTGACTGAGTTGAAGCTGTGTCCTCAGCTGGAATTAAAGCTGGAGGTCCTCCTACACCAAAAGAGTTTTGCTTTAGTCCCAAGTTCTCTGGGAAAGGTAAGGACACCTGAGCAGAAAAACAGACCTTACTGCATCCTATTGCAGCTAGTCCTCCTTATTGACACTCAGCATTTTCCCAAGTGCCATACGTTCTAGCTCACTGGTGATGAGCTAGATGGCTCTGAGTTCCACAAATACTGATGTTGTGGAAGCCTTTCCAAAGTGCTGAGCGTTTATTTCTTGAAAACCAGCTATTTTGGAAATGCTCCAAGCTGAAGAGCAAAAACCACAACTGTCTTAAAACTTCAGGTTGGTGATGGTGAATGCCAAACACAAAGTTTTCCCAATCTTTACAAAGATTTTTTTCCCCCCTGTTATAATGTATGCCAAGCCTGGCTTTGGAAAGCCTGTGGTACATACAAACTAGCTAAAAAACCAAGCCCTGATTTACTCC